CCACTGTAACCGGCGGTGGGAAACGGCTCTGGCTAGGTTATGTATTACCCACACATGTTTAACTCATGGGCTCATAATGAAGCACTGCCCTGCTCCTTATTGTCCAAACTGCATTGTCCCTCTTATGGTTGTGCATATCGTTTAATGTCGTGACTTCCAGGATGTGCGTGTCTTGCTTTCCGACTGTCCCTCGCGGTCACTTGTCCCTCTATAGAATTCGTGGTGAATCGAATACCTTCGATATCGTCTGCATTATGCATTTTTGTTCTCGTATTGGTGACCTTAGTGATATGTAGCGCCCTATGATTATCCCGCACATTTGATGGTTTGATAATTACTTTGGTTTGGAATGTTTCAAATGAAATTGATTCATACAGTGAAATGTATGAGAAAATCTACAGGGTTGTGAGGTGAAGCGAACCTGTGACAAAGGCATTGCCAACTCCATACTCTACCACCACTGATGGTAAAAGTCTTACAACCAGATTACTCCTGAAACCTCAGGAAGTCTGGAGGCCCTTCCTGAAGCCAGTCCAAGTATTACGTTAAACCACCGAAGCACTCAGGTGAAGGGTGAAGCAATACCGTATGGCCCAACTTCAGATACACAAAAATTGACACTAACGTGATTTTTTGTGTGTATGTGAAGTTGGGGCGTATGGTGTTGAAGGACTTCATCCTTCACCCGAGTGCTTGGAGGTCTTACGTAAAACTTCAAGTGGCTCCAGGAGGGGCTTCAAGAACTGTGATTTCAGGAGAAATCCGGTTGTAAGACTTGTACAAAGTCAGCAATGGTACTGTAGTACAGTCTGCAGCTGATAGTGCCTTGGGTACGGGTTCACATCGCCTCACAGCCCCAGTGGATTTTCTCTTTGATGTATATCATGTTGTGAATTTCTGTGTATTGTTATGATCACCATCTAATAACAGTCCTTTCCGGCCTCAGGAGTCATTTTGACCCATCTAGAAAGATCGCAGATGGGCAAAACAGTGATTAAGTTAAAGAATGGGGCGAGTGGCGGTGACTCAGCCAATCGGAGCGAGGGTTGATTTGTGGAAAGTTGTGTATAGTTAGTTTTTCCTTGTTCTGCGTTTTTCCTAGTTCAAATGTAATATTTTGATTTGTCATTGATGTATATGACAAGGGTTAGACCGTTATGGTATGGCACTTGCTGCATTTAAGTCATTTAAAATAGATGTCAGAGTCCTAAACATAACCTTTCTATTTACTCCATGCACCTGTTATTTCCTTAGTA